AGGTAGAACCTCTTTTCGTAAAAACGAATACGCCCCGATAGTGCCTCCGGGTTGTGGCGTAACGTTCCCAAAGATAAAACGACGTTCGTCTCCGAATTAGGTGGCACCCTAATATTTCGGAGCTCCAGCAAACTAAAATAAGGGGACTTAAGCTATGTCGAGAAGCTAGGCAAGTATAGATTCCGGAGCTTGCCGGAAAACTCGCCGGATATTGAGTGGGGTGGAGAGGATTAGAGAGGAAGAACTCCTCTTGGCGTCGTTGGTGTGGTAATGGGGTGGTGGAGAGGGCCTTTTATAGGCACCTCCATCAAGTGGGGCAATTAACGTCCGAGTCGAAACCGCCGTAATCGACGATAATTAAATTCCGGTAACGTCCGGCCATAAACACCATACTTAATTCCAATCATAAACATCAAATTAATTCCGGTCATAAACACCAAATTTATTCCGGTCATAAACACCAAATTTATTCCGGTCATAAACATCAATTTAATTCTGGTCATAAACACCAAATTTAATTTCGGTCATAAATATATTTTTTGAATTTCAAATAATTATTTATCATATATGCATGTAATTATCTGGTCCGGCAGGTGGCACGCGCGCCTGTGGCTTACCGGTATTTATATGCCTAACCACACTATCAATAACTACCATACAACCCACATGCATTTTAATTCATTGAATAATCGGTTACGGAAATTATGAATTTAATTTAAAATTAAATTTCATCGATTAAATAATTAACCGATTTTCAACAAAAATTAACAATTATTACTCACTTTTATTAAAACATGTGTCTGGTCAAATAAGCACACATTTGCATGACGGAGGGCGTACAAAAGTATTATTAATGTTAAAAGACTATTTTATCTTTCATTATTAACTAACTTAATATTATTTTATCATATAATTAAGGGTATTTTAGGTAAAATTAATAATTTTATACAACAATCGATTAAAGTAAACATTGAATTATCTTATCATATGATTATATAATTTATTAGAATAACAATGTATTATAACCATATTGTTGAAACATGACTTGAATTTAGCAGTCTACCCGATCCGAAACTAAAGCGAAAAGGCTGTTTTAATTGGCAGGGTTCCTTTTGGGTCCATCCTAATTAGTAACAAATGGACTTAGGGTTTAGGGCGTTTTGAGGGTGCTTATAAATAGATAGCTATGACTCCTAGGCATACGACAATGATTGTAACTCTCTGAATCAGTATAATAAAATCTTTCCGTTTCCTGCCCGTGGACGTAGGTTGACCTACCATCATTAAACCATGTAAAATCTATATATTCTTTAGTTTATTTCTTTCTCGTTTTCTCATAAAAAGTGGTATTAAAGTCATATCTAACTAATTGAAGATGTCCTCGTATAAGTTTGATCTTGAGAAGTTTAATGGGTCGAATGACTTCACGCTCTGGAAGGTTAAGATTGGGGCACTTATGGTTCAAAAAGGATGTGCGGCTGCGTTGGAGGGAGAAGATAAGTTTTCTAAAGACACGAAGGAGGAGATGAAGAAGGAGATTTTGGCAAGGGCTCATTCCGCGATCTTGCTGTCAGTTACTAATGAAGTGTTACGGGAGGTTAAAGATCAGACGACGATTTCTGGGCTATGGGATAAACTGTGTGAGAAGTACCATAACAACTCTATCATGAACAGGCTATATAAGAAGCAACGACTTTACACCTCTGAATGCCCGAAAGTACTCAAGTAAAGGATCATCTTGATACATTTAACCGTATTACTCTTGATCTTCGAGGGGTTGAGGTTAAAATAGATGATGAAGATTAACCCCTAATTTTACTATGTTTACTACCTGGTTCATATGAGAATTTTTTAGATACTATGCTATATGGTAGAACTACAATTTATGTTAATGATGTGAAAGATGCCCTTATGTCCAAAGAATTGAAAAGAAAGGTTTCCATGGAAGAGGGTTCTCGTTCAGGTTTGTTTGTAGGTAGGGGAAGACCACATGAGATGGGTAATGGGAATGGAAGGTTGCGTTCAAAATCAAAATCCTTTACCAAAGTTAAGTGTTATCTTTTCAAGAGGAAAGAGCACATTAAAAGGTATTGTCCACATAATAAGAGAAATACAAAAGTTGAGTTTAGTAACTGTGGTATTGTTGTTATGGTACAAGACAGTTTTAATGATGGAAACCTTGGTAAAGTTCTGACAGTGTGTAGTGCTAGTACTGTTGATACTTGGATTATGAATACGATTATGTCTATGTGATATGTCGTGAAGTTGTTGTGATATGATAATATTAATTTCCAAATGAAGTTGATGTGATATATATTGTATATGATAAATTTTTTATTGGATTATTGATGTTTTTGTGGGCAAAAAATTATAGATAAATTGTATAAGCCGTGGATTTAGCTAGATTTAGCATTTGATTGGCAAGTCGATCAGTAAATTATATTAGCCGTGGATTTGACAAGACTTAGCCGTTGATTAGCAAGTTGATTAATAAATTGTATAAGCCGTGGATTTGGCCAGACTTAGCTGTTGATTGGCAAGTCGATTGATAAATTCTGTATTTCATAAATTTGGCTAGACTTAGCAGTTGATTGATAAATTATGATAGCCGTGAATTTAACTAGACTTAGCTGTTGATTGTAAATTGTATTAGTCGTAGATTTGGCTAGACTTAGCCGTTGATTGGCAAGTCGATTGTAAATTGTATTACCTGTGAATTTGGCTAGACTTAGCCATTGATTGACAAGTCGATTGGTAAGTTGTATAAGTCGTGGATTTGGCTAAACTTAGTCGTTGATTGACAAGTCAATTGATAAATTGTATAAGCTGTGGATTTGGCTAAACTTAGCCGTTGATTGAGAAGTTAATTAATAATTGTGTGAGCTAGTAATTTGGCTAGACTTAGCGGTTACTTGGCAAGTCGGTTGATCAATTGAGTGAGTTGTGGATTTTGGATAGTTGTAGTTGTTGTTTGGTTAACACGTATTGTTGGTACTTTATTTAATGCATTGTATATTTAATTTCTTAATCAACTCTTGCTGATTTAACTGTTTTCTTCATTCATAGTTGAAATCTACACTTTCATCGACTTGATGCATCATAGGGATGGATTATTGTCAAACATGCATGACCTTCTACAATTACATATTTTAAAATAATTGTGGGTGTTTGTAAAAATATTTTATGACTTTCGAAAAAAAAATGTTTGTACTTATGTTTTAGCCTTATTACCGAAACACAATACGTCTATATGTGTTGTTGTTCGGTGTTGACGTGTGACATTCTCATAAAATTTTTTGAGTGTTACACAAAGACATACCAAGACAAGTACATGCGGAATTTTCGCGGAATTTCAATGTGGCAATGCAAGAAACCATAGCCGACACAAGAGAAAGCCATAACTATGGAACGAAAAACGTGATCGAGATTAGCAAAGAGTCAAGAGGAAACTTGTGTTAGTTAACAAAAAACATTGCAAAATTTTAAGGTATCGAAGATGGTGTATAGTTCAAGGGGGCAGGGGGAAGTGTGGAGAATATCACGTATTATGGCTAAAAATGACCAAGATAAAGTCCCAAGGTAACCGACAGAATAATGTAGATTGGGCCATGATCGAGAACAGACAGAAGAAAAGGGCCAATGTGTAGAAACTGTTGAAACCTTCCAAAACATTCTAGAACTCTTTAGAATGACCTATTCCCCTTTGACTAAGTCCAAGCTTATCCATTAGAATAAACTTAATTTATGTCTATCCCGTAGCATCAATATTTATACAATAACAGATAGAGTTATTAATGTTTTCAGGCATGTGATAATTAGACTTGACCCGACCCATCCATTGTGTCTATAAATAAGGGACTCCTATTGTCCCATAAGGGATGGCCTGATGGTGTAGGGGTTGGACTTGTGACCGTGAGGTCATGGGTTCAAACCGCCGAGGGTTTATCCAGTGTGCACTTTCAGGTAGCGGATTTTATCCGATCTAATTTCATAAAAGTCCATTGCATGTTCTAGGTTTCTTAAGTTCTGTGTGCATTTATGCTTGTTTACCGATGCTTAAATAGTGAGGTTGTCGAATAACAAACCGAATACATAATTATAAAAATAAAAATAAAAAAATATGTACAATGGTAACTAGATTCAATCTCCATCTAATTTAGATCGTTGTTCTCCGTTTCTATCCGTGGACGTAGCAAAAACACGTTGCTGGTAAACCACATTGTCTTCTTTACGTTTCTGTTTGTTATTCGATCGTTAACCCTAATCCATCACAACACATTCAAACTTAGTAGTATCAATTATATACCACATACACCATGGCTAGTTAGTTTTCGCCTTAAAGGCCATCTCAATCTTATGTTGTTGCAAAAATAATATTGTATATGTGTGACAACACAAGTATTGCCCCAATTAATAAGCTCACAAATCATATAAGAACATCCAAAAAGCTGTGAACAAGATTAAATATACGGATGCTTTCATTTTATACTTGTTCGATCTCTAAGACAAGTAAGAAGCAAGCCTTCTTGGATCTTCAAATAAATACATCAGTTGCTTATTCTAAGGATATCCTTTATGACTTCTCCACATGAATATGTTAAGTATTTATTGGAATATTGAGGATGGAGAAACCATATCATAGTCTTGATATATATTCTTGTTAGATTTTATTAAATAAAAGGATGTATTGTTTCCCTCAACATTTGGAAGAAGATCTTTCATATCTTGATTCATTTTTCAAATTGATTCACACATTAATAAATTCTTAGATCAAATTCCTTCACAACAAATCAATCTTTGAATCATACTTCAACCTCTTCATTTGTGCTTCTAAATAATACCTTTGAGAATTCAATGAAAGATAATGTAAAACCAACATATAATATATATATATATATATATATTCTAAGCATTAGGAAACACAATTTAGGAAATAGCCAACAACTTCAAATGACAAAAGTTACAATTTTCCAGGCAAATTCAGGTTTACTAAGATTTGGGATATGGTTTTATTCTTTACATGACTATACTATTACATTATTCATAGCCACATTGCTATTTCAGTAAATGATCCAATAAATCTCTTACAACATCAATTGCATCTAAAAAAAAAAAATGTTATAAGCAAACCAAGTTGATTATTGTTATTACTATTATTACTTTGAATTCATTCTTGCGAAAAATATTTTAAATGCACTTCAGCTTCAAATCGCGTATGACATAGTTAGCTATATAGTGATAAGAAGCCTGTGTTAGATGGAAACCATCCCAGTGTATATGGTTATTTGGATTAGGGCACAACGGTACGTCTCCATTTCCACAAAAAATCGGGCCTACAATAACAAAGTTTCCCTCGAGTCCACAACAGGCGCTGAATAGCGTTTTAATGTTAAACCCTGGTGCATACAAAGCAAAATAAATAAATAAAGGGATCAATTAGCACTAAAAACCACTACAAAAAAATTGAAATTTAGATACAAAAAAATTTCGTAGCAAAAGGTTATTTCATAGCAAAAACATTGTTGCGATGAAACTCATTTCTCCGCCTATACTTCGTTACTAAAGGTTTTTGGCGACAAATATGATTTTCGTAACACAAAATAAGTTTTTTACAATGAAAGTTAAGAAAAGAAATGTAGTTATGAATTTTTGTAGCTAAAGCTCTTTTGCTATAAAATTAAAATCCATAACAACATAGTTTTAGCAACAAAATATCTATGATTTTTTTAGTTAAATGATTTTAGTTATGAAAAATAATTTTGTAGATAAAACCTTTTTACAATGAAGATAGAATTTTCTAGTAAAAAATTTCTGGCAACAAAATCAATTTTGTAGTACATTATTTATTTTTGCAATAAAATTAATTTTTGTTGTTAAATGATACGTTTTAACTACAAAAATATTTCGTAATTAAATATATTATAGTTAATTAGATATTTTTTGCAGTGAACTAATAACACTAAGAATAGATACACTACAAAAAAAAAAAAAAAAAATGTTATACGTACCAAGAGCAGGTGCATTACGAAGAAGTGATAGAAAGGGATCGTAGAGGTTAGAGTAGAGTAGGTTAACATTAGGATATTCGAGACGGAGAATGCTTAGTTCTCTTTGGAGGTCATTATTTCGAGAAGCAATTATATTATTCAAGTTCTTTAGGCATCCTAACTCATCTCTGATTTTGTCAAAAATGTTTGCATGATCACGATCAACCGAGCTCAAAGCGAAAGGAAAGCATCCGAGTGGAAAAATTCCGGGCACAATGACTTGTTGCGCACCTAATTGAACAACCTCCTATAAAGTTCAAAAAAAGAAGAATACTTATATCACTTGTATTTTTCGCAATAAAACAATATATATAGCAAAATATTTCAGCAAGTATTTCATCTTTAGTTACTCTTGTGGCATTGAGGATGACTCGATTAACCAACGGCAAGAAGTCTTGAATTTTTTTAATGCTTCTCCCTTGCTGAAATGAATAGCCGATGTCATTGTACCCAAATTCGCCCACGAACACAAGTGATCTTCTAAGCTTTACTCTACATTCTGGTAAAAAATGAAAACATTTTACCTTCACAAGAATAATGAATTTGTGTGATGTTTAACCTACAGGTTCTATGGTTTATATGGTGCTACTCATGCTTTAAAGTTATTTTGGGTAAATATATGTAATGTTTTTTTCCCAAAAAAATCATTATTTAACATTTCATGTGGTTTAGAATTTCATGAGATTTAGATGGCTCTCATTGTTTTGTTTATGGGTTTTCAATCTATATTTTACTATTTACTAATTTTTTCTAGTAAAAAATCAAATCAAACTCTTAATTTTTATTTTTAATATTATATAAAAAAAAAATTCCATTCAAATTTATATCAAATTATATTAATAAACTAACATATTGTATTTAGAATCCTTTATTAGTTAAAATTTAACAAAAATATATGTGTATGAAATGTTAGGGCTATGATTGAGATTGCATATATGACTAAACAGAACCGTTAATCTCGATTACAACCCTAGTACGTGAAACAAACTACTCGTTAAATTTTACTTGACAATGGGTTTTGTGTATAGCTTAACAAAAACACGAATAAGTCTCATGCAAATTCTAAACCGTTAAGGAGAATAGTGATTTTTAAGTAGAATAAATGGAAGTACCATGATGTGAGTATGTTTCTTTTTATGTAGTTTGGAAAATTTTGATTTGAGTTTGTTATCACAATAATGTATAATGGAATATTTTGTAAGATAAAAAAAAATTTATTTTTTTCGGAAAACGCAGAGTTCAAATAGTAAGAATCTGGGGTTCGGAGTTAAAGAAACAAACCCTTAATTTTCTAGCATCTATAATTATTTTGTGTGAAACCTGTTGGGGTAAGACATATTGACTTGAGATATTTCTTGAAATTTTCCAGCTGAACAAGAAGCGGCGGAAGTGGTGGAACCGACGTCCCTTGAGCTATGTAAAACTTAGGGTTGAGAACTGTGCTTCCAGCCACAGCAAAATTTACACCATTGAGGAATGAAGCATTTTTCGCCTGGTAAGGGTTCAATGGTGGAAGTCCAAGAGATGCAGCTGCCAATATTATCATACAAATTTAGTTAGGTGCATACCGCAAAAATTAAAGAATGTATTCGGATTCAGCTAAGGAAACTAACTCAAATTCAAACTAATTATTTGGTAAAATTGCTCGTAACTCCCATGTGGTTTCGAAATTCAGCGCAAAATCTTTCTATACTTTAAAAATTGCATGGCACTTCCTTATACTTTACAAAACGTCACATGAAACCCCACCACCATTAAAACTCCCAAGAAGATGATTTCCTATCTGTATGTTTTGCATGGGCGGGGTTTCATTCAATATTTTTGAAAGTATAAGGGAAGCTATGCAATTTTTTAAAGTAAAGCGGACTTACACTAAATTTTAAAACCACAGTGGACTTTCATATAATATTTTTGAAAGTATAAGGGAATGTCATGTAATTTTTAAAGTAAAAAAGAGATTTACAGTGAGTTTTGAAACAACGATAGACTTATGGTCAATTTTGCCGTAATTATTTTGGTAATGTCTCATCACCTCAATGAAACTCTGAACAAAAAAATTGTAATAGACTCCAATGAATTAAAAAATTACTATATGTTGTGTGTCAAATGAGTATTACAAACCGATATAGTCGATGATAAGCCGACCATCAGACCAACGACCAGAGGGGTGTCCTGGAAAAGTTATTCCATAAGGTTTGCGCGAAGCAGGAACTTGTGGGATAGCAAGAACTAAATTCCCTGTATCTGATATGGAATCTCCAACCTGATATATGGATTCTATAGGACATTTTATTCCTTGAAATATTTCACCTTCACATACAAAGGATGAAGAAAAGATTATCAAGAAAATTGCAAAGGAAAATGTGTAGCAAAAGTTGAGCAGATGTTGTAGAGACATTTCTAAATGGAAATGTAAGTTTCTTGCAACAATAATATGCAAAATCGCTTGAGAAAGGCTAATTATACATATATATAGGGTAGAAAATTGATAATAATTAATGTTGCGTATGACAAGCTTTACAAGCTAGTATTACTTGCAGATTTTTTACTGGCTAATGGAATTTCTTCAGAAGATGAAAAGAAAAGAAAAAAATCAGACCTGAGAGGGAATTGAATTGATGAAAACAAACAAGGATGTGTTCTCTTTACGCTACAAAAAAAAAAATAGTATATTTATAACGGAATTTCGTTTCTAAAGTTCACAATAGTTAACGTAATTTAATCCCCAATTCCGTCACTAATAGCATTAGTAACAAAAAAATTGGATTTAGTAAAGAAAAAACGTCGTTACAAAATTGATATTTTCTTGTAGTGTTATATTCTTTTTCTACATGTTTTTTCAAAAAAATTAACATATCACACATATTCATTATTTTTATATTATCTACATAATTATTTATATTTCACATAAAAAAATTTCAAAATATTTCACAAAACAAAGACAGTTGAAGTATTTTAAACTATACGAAGTTAATATAAAGGGAAGTATATGTTTTAGGTGGCTAGGAATTCAAGATTCTAAGTGATCTTACGATCTCCCATTGGTTTTCCTTTTTCTTGTTTTCCTTTACTTTCTTTTCTTAAATAATATTTTAGGTGGTATAGATTTATATTTTTTGAACTATTTTATTTCTATTTTTTTTTAATTCTTAATAAGGAAAATTTATGTAATAAAAGAAATGTTGTAGAAGTTTTGGTACATTCAAATTAAACAAAACAATAAAAAAATTGTGACCAAACATGTATAATAAAATATCGTTGGTATGGTGCTGAGTATATATTAAGTTGAACACCATGCTGAATTAATTTCTTTTATTAGATCATTTTATTTTATAATCTTGTAGCTCATAATGATCGGAGTATTTTAGGTATTGTATTAGAATTAGTATTATGACTTTTTAATTAAAGAAATCAATAAAATGCGTTATAGTTGGATATAAGAATTGTCCTAAATCATGAAAATCTGATATATTAAATTTTTAATTGAAATATTTATATCCAAAGTAATATGATATTGACAACGTGAACATATGTTCCCTACAAATGTATTAAGGTGATGTATGGTTTAAAAGTACACATAAAAGATATGATGTGAGCAATATGCAAAATTGATGTAAGTAGTACGACAAGATGATATATATTTTGGAATTATTTGGAGTTTATCATTTTATAAAATAATAAGATTGATTAGAAAAATCCAGCATGATTTTAAGGATTCATTTTCGTAAAAATAAATCACAATTATGTACAAAAAATATTGGTTATATAACACATGTAATATAATATTTCTTACCATATTTTGTTACAATATTCTATTCTATATTTTATTCTTTCCATATAACACATTTAATTTACAAAATTTGAGTAGCTTCAATAATTAAAAAAATAAATCAAAATTAAAAAAAAATAAAATCAAACAATAATTAACCTAATTTAATTCTCCATCCTTCCCCCACCTACTCATGGTCCTACAACCCCCTCGCTTATCTCGCACCCAGAAAACACTCTCGTCATCCCCTCACCCGTGTGGCTCGATGGAAGCCACGTGTCCACCAGGTAAACTTGACTCCTGACAGATACGTGGATTTTATTATTTTTTAAATTTTTTTAATTGAATCAAATAAAAATAAATAAATAAAATTAAAAATAATTTTTTTTTTAAAAAAAAAAAGTAAAATCCACATGTCCGCCAGGTCAGCGACACCTGGCGGACACGTGGCTTCCGACGAGCCACGCAGGCGTCTCTGGCGCCGGAAGACTAAAACAGCGAAATTTTTTCATTTATGGGACTAATTTGCAACAAGCTCCAGTTACGGGACTAAAATGATAAAAGAATCTAGTTACAGGACTAAAAAAAACACTTTACCCTAATGATTTTAATACAATACTTAAAATAGGAAAGATTAATGGGTACTGACCGAGAAGAAATTTGATATGGTGTATGGACGGTCATATATGTATAAAAAATTATGTTAAATATTTACGTATGTCTTCATTTGTGCAAAATTATCTATATAGCATTCAAATACGATGTCTCATATTGACATATATGTTGTATATTTTTTATTTTCTAATATAATAATCTTATTAATACATACTATTATCTATAATTAACATAATTGGTTTTTTTTGAAAAAAAATTAAGAATATATATATTGATCATAGAATATATACTATATATATATATACTTTATATAATTTTTTAATATAATATACTATTATATTTTTAATGCTTTTGACAATATATGCATATGATATCAAATTAATTTATGTATTATTACAATTTAATAATATGCTACAAAACACGTAAATACAATAATAATAATACTTTTCTATAACAATTATGACCATTAATGTATGTAATTATAATTTATGTAATTATGATCCATAATTCATGATATTTAATTCATATAATATTATTTAATTTTCTATATAAGACAAATTATATTATGCTAATTGAAAAATAAAGAGAATGCATGAAATATTTAAATATGATGTACATAGAATTATAAAATGCTGAATTATAAAATCATCCTTAAATATTGCAATACATTATTTACATGTCCTGTGCACTTTTCTCATCATTTTATCATACAATGGAGCATCAATGTTCTCCGACCAATATTGGATGTACTGCACGCGCTCGGGATGATTTTTCAATATTTTTTGCATTTGTATCCGAACAAAAAACCTAGCATATGAGCATACTTAGCACCATACCAGAACCGAATAATAGAATATGCTAGTTTTAAAACAAATAATATTATTGTTTCGCTGATGTGAGATAACTTTTGACATGGAAAATAGATCATTTAATAGTTGTTTTTTTTTTTGGAGAATTTCTCAGTCTTATATTAATTATGAGATCATAGGTCTATTATAAACATGGGGTATAAATCTTAGTCGTGAGATTTTAAAATTGATCAACGATTTAGATTATTTAGTGGGTAAAATTATCAGTTTGTCACTAATATTAATTATAGTATTGATTTCATTATGGATAAAGTGTTTTTTTAGTCCTGTAACTGTAACTGGACCCTTTTATCATTTTAGTCCCGTAAGTGGAGCATGTCGCAAACTAGTCCCATAAGTGAAAAATTTTCGTTGTTTTAGTCCTCCGGCGCCGGAGACGCCCGTGTGGCTTGCCGGAGGTGATGTGTCCGCCAGGTGCCCGCCAGGTCAGCGACACCCGGCGGACACATGGATTTATTTATTTTTTTTATTTTTTTTAATTTTTTTAATTGGACTAAATAAAAAAAATACAAATAAAATTAAAAATAAATTAAAAATAAGTTTTAAAAAAAAATTAAAAAAAAAAATTTCCACGTGTCCGCCAGGTCAGCGACACCTGGCGGACACGTCACCTCCGGCGAGCTACGCGGGCGTCTCCGGCGCCGGAGGACTAAAACAGCGAAAATTTTTCACTTATGGGACTAGTTTACGACAGGCTCCACTTACGGGACTAAAATGATAAAGGGATCCAGTTACGGACTAAAAAAACAGTTTACCCTTTCATTATTTATGGATTTAAGCATTGCAAATATATAAAATAAATAATTATACAAATTATCTCTTATTTTGGAATTTCACGCAATAAATAAAATACAAATATTTTTACTAATACACAAGGAAATGTTATATAATTAATCATATATTTATTCTATAAACATCATCTTAGGAGTAAAAAAGTATTTATGTAATAGATGGTTATCATATCATCATTTGTATTTTCACCGTGAACGAATATATTATTCATATTTCAACCTTATAAACATCTCAAATCTCACATGTTAAAGAAAAAAGTATTAATTGACATTATTATTTTAAAAGTATTTTTATCTTTTTTCAGATTTTTCCTACATTTTGCCTACTAAATTGAAATTACAAAAATCATACTATAAAAATTTGTTTGGTAGTTTTATAAATTTAAAAATTAGTCAAACTAATTAGATAAATAAAAAGAAAATTAATTTATATTCATAATATGGAAAATATTAAATTTGTTGATTATAATGCCATAAAATTGACTTATAATTTAGGTAATTGTAATCTATTTTATTTATCCACCTAAACTATATGATATTAATTATAAAACTAATTTATACATATAATTTAATTTTTTTAAAAAAAAACTAAGCCCAATAAATCAAATACTTTTATTCTTCTTAAATGTTATTTATTAAATAAAATTGATAAATTGTGTAGTCCTAATTAATAACATTATTATCATATAATAAATATATCATATTGCAATATTACAAAAAAAAAAAAAAAAAAAAAAGCCCATATTACATTGTTGATACAATGTTTGTATAACAAGCCACTTCAATTACTTGACCAAAAATTTTTCAAGCTCTGACGATGCATATAACTACAATTTTTTAAGCCGCCGATTATGAATATAAATTTATACTCATAGCCATAGTCAAATATTTTTTCTCAATATTCTAAACACAAAAATTCAAATAATTTTATTTTTCAAAAAATTAACTATAAATAAAATCGATAAATTATATTGTAGTTCCAGCAAATGACAACATTTTGATATATCATAGCATATTACAATATTGCATACGATATATTTTATGATTTTTAACATGATATCATTCTTTGAACATGTATCATAGTTAATCGAAACACACCGCATATTTCGTAACATAATAAAATATATCACAATATTGTATAATGCATCAGATCAATTTTTGTAGAAACCCAATTAGTTGGGTTATTTTTATTTTATATGAAAAATATATTATTTACAAATAAAAATCCCACTGAAAAAAATATTAAGTTAAAGATAAATCGCAAAACCTTGACAGTTCCTCACAGACCTTTAAACACCTATACCTCACAGACCTTTAAACACCTATACGAACATTTTTCTTTTCAATGTACATC